CGCCTCCTGTCCCGCCTACCCCTTGGGACCGGGTCCTCGATGACATTAAATGCATCACGCTATTCTGATGCCAGACGCCTCTATTGCTTTGGGCGATTGCCAGTACGCCAAAAACTGCACGCCAGGGCGCATAAGACATGAGGATGTCTCGTTTGACTCACCCCGGATGACTAGTTAGAAGAGTGGGGGTGGAAACAAACATCCGGCCGGCGACGAGGAGTGCCTTCGACGAGTCCGACGATTCGATGGTGCACAGGGCGAGACTCACGGGTTGTTCAGCAAAGGCCGAGCGGTAGCCGCAGGCGAGTTTCAGAACGGTAGCAGGCGAGAAGCTCGAACCTGTGGGCGTCTCGCGTCCCCCCCGCGAACTCTGCGTCAGCAGCGATGGCGAGCTATGGCGTTTTTTTTTGGGGGCGGGGGAGGTACCGAAACTCGCGTTCGTGGGCGAAGCTGGCGTCGAAGCCGACCTCCTGGCGTTCGCAGTCGTGAGTTTGGCGCATCGACGACGCAAACGCTCGGCGAACAGGCGACGGTCGGCCCGGCCCGCCGCGCGCGGGGGGGAGCTCGTCTCTCCTCATCCGCCTATAAAAGAAACCCATCCCTAGGGATTTCGGTGCTCGGAAGCTGTCCCGGCACTCCTCCTATTCGCGATCTCTCTGATAGCGGCGGGCGGAAAACTGCCGACTAAAGACGCAGGCACGCGTTTTCTCACACAAAAGTCGTAGCAAGCGATTTTCTGATTAATCCCAGCTTTGGAAGCAGTGTTGTGAGGGGATTTAAGAGAGAGAGAGAGAGAGAGAGAGAGGAGAGAGACATTAAAGAGGAGTTTGATTTGGGGTTATATTATTCTAAGTGGGTATCTGAAGAAGGTTCATACGCCTGTTATTATTAACACCTGCTAGCTACACGTGTTTATTTGAGAAGATTTTATCCACGCAAGTTTAGGGAATCGTCGGCGCTAAACATTGTAGATTCTTGTTGGAGTTAATAAAGAAATTTACCTGTGTGGGCTCCCGAGGTACGTACGGGAGAGGTTGCCGAACACTCGTAATATGCTGGTCGGTGTACTGTTCTCTATACGCGCGTTCCAGTTGTGCAAGGGTGTGAGGAGTTTTCAGGCGTTGAATTGCCCTAACAATTGGTATCAGACACGAACGTGAAAACGATCTTGACGAGGAACGGTCAGATTCAAGGTGGGAAGCCATGGCCGCAGAATAGAAAGGGAAGGTCGAGAATTAGAAGAAGTTTGAGTGGGATCAGATCTTCGGATTCTGGAAAAATGCAGATGAGAGTAGCGTGAGCGAGGAAAATCTGTATCAAACCTTGTCTCGGGGGAGCCCGGCGAGGGTATGAAGGAAGAGTAGATTGGGAATCTATCTTGGACACGAGAAAGCCGCTCGGAGTTTATGCTCGTTGTGGAACGTTAACTACAGCGTCGCAATGTTGTCCTGAGCGGAAGCGAGAGGACGCGAGGGGAGAAGCCCGGAGCTCAAATAAGTCCATTTGAATGAGGCGGTTGGACGGAGTGGAAGGATGCAATGGGTAGAGATGTCAGGCATGGGGGGCGGCGCAGCGATTAGGATGAGCTGGTGATGGAGGTGGAAAGGGCAAGGTGGCGCGTGGTCTTCGCGCTGAAAGCCGCAAGAGGAGTGGAGCGCTACGCGGTCACAGCTGAGAGCGCGGCAATTAGAGTGTGAAATTTGAAGCAGGCGTTCGGGTGCGGATCTGGTCTCAGTGAGGAGATCCTGATGGAGAGTCAGTTCGGGTGAAGCTTACAACTCTTCAGTATTACATTACAGAGTAGACGTAAAAGTTGCAAGCCAAGAGGAAAATGGATCCAGATGATAGGGAGATCCAAATGCCAGAAATCCAAGCAGTTCGAAGGCTAAATCGAGTGTCTGGAAGTGGGGAAAAACCCGGGCAATACAAGAATCAAGTGGCAGGAAGTGGCAGGGAGGAGTGGGTAGGCAAAGTGCAGACGTGAACCGTTGCCTCCACTCAGGAGAGATGATGCGCTGATCATGCTACCTTGGAGAGCAAAGCAAGGAGTCTTGGTGGACTCGGAGGCCAATCAATTCCCATGGCTACTTCTCAGAAAGAATTCTCGAGAAGTACATATCCCCGAACCCCGAAGAACGCTTGGAAATGTATATCTTGTGACCGATCAGCGCATGTGGCCATTATTGGCAGGTGTAAGTGAAGATTAAAGCTGAATGGGTCAGTATGGGAGCTGAAGGATGTCAGGTATATTCCCGTGACCTGAAGAGACTTAATTCAGTAAAGCGCAGGCTAGCTAGTGAAGGCATACACTGCGACCGTGCCCTGCCGTCGACGACTTTCCATGAGAGGGATGACTGAACGGATTTCGAGAGAAGGCGCAATGACGATTGGGCCAGACGGCAGGAGACTGGTACCTGGTGGACGTCGGCTGTATTATGACAGCGGGTGCGGGCACGTTGTTCGATCTCAAGTTGCGGCAGGACAATGAGACTCTTCAAAAGCTGTGGCAACAGAGACTGCGTCATATGAGTGAAAAGTGGATGAAGGTTATGCACACAGAAAGAAGAAAACTCCCCGGTTTACATAATCAGTAAGAGATTGATGTGTCGTGAGAAATGCATACTTAAAGGCAGAAGAGAGTTAGCTTCAGGCAAGTACCAACCCCCCAGGAAGCAGAAGCTTAGAGCTCGTTCACTGACCCGGATGTGCGGCACCGGAACAGACGCAGCGCGCCCGGGCGCGGGGGCCGGCGAGGCGTGCGAATTGGTGGGAAACACTACTTCGTGACTTTTATTGATGATCACTCTCGGAAAATATGGGTCTACTTTCTGAAGAAAAAGTCAGAAGTGTTTGAAGTTTTCAGAAGATGGAAAGCCATGGTCGAGAATGAGACCGGTTTGAGGGTAAAGAAACTCAGAACAGACAATGGTGGTGAGTATGAAGACACCAGATTCAAGAAGTTCTGCTATGAGCACGGTATCAGAATGGAGAGGACCGTGCCCGGCATGCCTCAGCACAATGGTGTGGCTGAGCGCATGAATAGAACGTTGACAGAGAGAGCCAGAAGCATTCGGATTGTGGCTGAGCGCATGAATAGAACGTTGACAGAGAGAGCCAGAAGCATTCGGATGCAGTCAGGTCTACCAAAGCAGTTCTGGGCAGAAGCAGTCAACACAGCAGCTTACTTGATCAACCGAGGTCCATCGGTTCCATTGGAGAACAGAATACCAGAAGAGGTATGGTGCGGAAAGGATGTAACCCTCTCACATCTCAAAGTTTTCGGTTGTGTAGCTTATGTGCATATAAGTGATCAAGGCAGGAATGAGCCTGATCCCAAGTCTAAGAAATGCACATTCATCGGGTATGGTGAAGACGAGTTCGGCTACCGCATTTGGGACAACGAAAACAAGAAGGTGATCAGGTGCAGAGATGTGACATTCAACGAGAAGGTGATGTACAAGGACATGCACAAGACAGATGACGGTGACTCAGAGAGCGAGTCAACATTTGTAGATGCAGATGATGTTCCGGATAACCTCTCGGAAGAACCCAATGCAGAAGATCCTCAGCCAGAAGAGACTGTTGGACAGAATGGTGCGCAGAAGCCCGACGCACCAGCTCCGATGTTAAGGAGAAGTACTCGTCCTCCTGTGCCTAACAGCAGATACATGAATTATATGTTGCTGACAAATGGAGGAGAGTCTGAAAGCTTTGATGAAGCTTGTCAGAGTGGAGATGCGAGCAAGTGGGAGTTTGCTGCGAAAGAAGAGAAGAAATCTCTGATCTCCAACCAGACATGGGGACTAGCTGAGTTGCCCATGGGGAAAAAGGCACGTCACAACAAGTGGGTGTATCGAGTGAAGAAGGAACAGGGTGGTTCCAGAAGATACAGAGCCCGACGAGTTGTCAAAGGATTTCAACAGAATATCCAAGGAAGAAAGGATCCAGCGGATATGTTGACAAAGGCAGCGACCTTTCAGAAACTGAAGTTGTGTGCAACTTCAGTTGGCCCTCATGCATAGATGATGAGGGCGGAGCCACACAGGAGAGGAGCTTGATGAGATAGCCTGTTGACGTCGGTTTGGTCTCCAAGTGGGAGATTGTTAGAATTAGGGGTGGAAACAAACCTCCGCCGGCGAAGAGGAGCTCCGACGAGCTCCGACGAGTTCGATGGTCGCAGGCGAGCTCCGGTAGTCCAGGCGACAGGCGGCAAGGTCCAGCTCGAGCTCTGCGTTCGAACCCCCCCACCTTTGCTCTGCGTTCGAACCCCTTCCGAACTCTGCGTTTGGCGAAGGCGAACTCTGCGTTTGGCGAAGGCGAGCCCTGCGTCACAGCGATGCCCACCTTTGCGTTCGCGGGCTGCTGGCGACAGGCTGTCGAACAGTGTTTGAAGGAGAGAGATTAAGAGAGAGAGAGAGAGAATTAAAGAGGAGTTTGATTGTGGGGTATTTATTCTCAAGTGGGTATTGAAAGGGTTCATACCCTGTTATTATTAACACTGTAGCTACAGTGTTTATTTGAGAAATCCCAGTTTAGGGATCTGCTCCTAAAATTGTAATTTCTTGTTGGATTAATAAGAAATTTACTGTGTGGCTTCCGAGGACGTAGGCAGCTGCCGAACCTCGTAAATCTTGGTGTACTGTTCTCTATACCGCGTTTCCGTTGCATTAGGGGTTTCAGCGTTGAATTCCCAACAATAACACCTGACGGTGGACGCGCACCTAAATGCGAACTCCATCGCTCGGTATTCTATAACGCCTAACTATTCTATAATGCTAACGTGCCAACAATATGAATAGATTGAGGAAATCAGCACGAAGAGAGAGTTGCATTGGTCAATTTCCCACTCTTGATAGGATCCAAGTGCCCCCACAAAAGCTTAGTCAGATTTCCAAAACTGAGGCCACTTGGCAAAAAGACAGCGGGCTTGCTTTAGCCGCACCAAAATCCCTTCTTCTGTTATCTCAAAAACGCAACAGCCCCCAGATTTTTCAGCACACGACCCTCGCTCAACAAACAAAAACAGAGAGCCCAGTTTGTTCTCGCGTGCTTTTCCTCCCTCCTTAACTTCCCAACATATTTTTAGGTGGAATTTCGCCCTCTTATCTCCCTCAGTTTCTTCAACCGGAATCATCCATTCGTTCGTTCTTTTCTGCTTAATCCCACTTTTCCCCCTCCCCCTTGTTTTCGTTAATTGCAGATAGGAGGTCTATTCTTCGAGCAGAATAGTCTCCAGTGACGGGGGTCTTCAGCTACTGCTGCCCTTTTGCGATTGCTTCAAACTGAGAGAAAAGGGCTGGTGGGATTAAAGCCATGGGTGCCAGAAGAATTGCTCTTTCCGATGCCCGTTCGCGTGTTTTGAACAAGGAGCCATTATTTGATCATATTATTTACAAAAACATGGCTCTTTTCATCAGTTCTTGCTGGTTTTATTTTGCCCGATTCGTCTTCTTTCTGGTTAGATTCACCGCCCGGCGTGTTTTTAGGTAAGTTGAATCCAAGAAAACTAGTTTGAATTTCAACTCTTTTTGACCCACCTCCCCTCTCATGTGTTCTTCATTCTGATGTTCGTTCCATTTTTTTTTTCTGGTAGAATTAAAATGGAAGAGGGCTCTGAAGAAGTAATTGAGGATTACTCTGTTTCGTTAGAGCCAGTGTCCGAACCGAATGAGATGGAGGGGAGAGATTTCAATGGCTTTGGTGAGGAGGAGGAGGAAGAAGAGCATTCAAGTTTCAGTTTCAAATTTGAATATCAGATTCCTAAGATCAGTACTATAACCAATAAGGAGGGCGAAGTTCCTATCACAGAGGAAAATTACCAGACGAAGACCACAAATATCAGTAATTATCGTGTCGTATCAGAGAGAGATTTTAGTGGGTTTGTTGAAGAGCCTGAATCCGTGACCATTCGGGTTCTCGAGTCTTTTGTTGATCGCTGTGAAGAGAAAATAGACTCAAAGCCCTTGTCAGGAAAAAACTTTGAGGGGTTCGTAAAAAAGCCAGAACCTGCAACTTTTCAAGCTCACGAGTCCTTCGCTGATGGTAGCGAAGAGAAAAAAATAGAAGGTGAATTGTTGGCCGACGATGATTTTGGCAGGCTCGTTAAAAATCCAGAAGCAGTGCCGTTTCAAGCTCATGAGTCTTTTGCTGATATCGGTGAGGAGAAATTAGAAGCTAAGTTCTTGCCAGAGAGAGATTTTATCGGGTTTGGTGAACAGCCCGAAGCTAAGGTCTTTCAAGTTCATGAATCTTTTGCCAATAGCAGCGAAAAGAAAATGGAGTCTGAAATTTTATCAGATGAAGATTACAGTCCGTTTGTAGAGGATCCAGAAGCCATGTCCGCTCGAGTTCAAGCTTATTTCTCTGACAGTTGCGAAGAAACATTAGAACCAGAGCCTTTCGTTGGTAGCGATGAAGAAAATTTCGAATCAGGATTCTTATCATCCGAAGAATTTAAGAAGTTTAGTATTCAATCCCCAGTTGTCATGTTCCTAAAGGATCAAAAATTGGAGGGGAAAAGATCAAATGAGAAAGAAGCTATAAGCAACTTTTCCGGTTTTGACTCGGATTCTGACTCAATAAGCTTCAGTGATGGCTACTCTGTCAAGGACCTTGAAGTAGATTCAGAGAATGATGGATTTTTGTCGGAGAGGGATTTTGGTGATAAAGAGAGTTCTTTAGTTTCTAGTACATTTGAGATGGAACTAAGGGAGAACATGGAGAAAATCGAAGAAGGCCAGTTTTCGAGTCAAACCAATTACAGAAACATTTATGATGGCTTTATTTCTGACAAAGGCTTCAATGAGCTTGAGAGGATTTCAGAAGAAAAGCTTCACGAGAATTACTCTCCTTACACTGATAAATTAAGCCAGCTGGACGAAGTTTGGTCTGAAAATGAATCCCTTGATCCTGAATTGGAGCTGAAGGAATTAAACACAGGCAAAATTGGTGACGCCCCCTCGCCACAATTCAGCGTGCAAATGGAGTTCATGGATTCTAGTGACGATGAACTTTCTTATTCAAGAAAGGATAGCAACAAATTTGACAGTTCAGAGTTCGGACATAAGGATTTGAATTTAGAGGGTGAATCCAATAGTTATAATTTTGATCGTCTAAACGCAAACGGGGGCTCGAATGAAGGAAGTGAAAAGAGAACAGAGGAAGAAAATTCTGACGGGACCAAGATGAAGGATTTAGATTACGATGACTTTGATGAGTTGGAATCTCTATGGGAACATCAGGATCTGATAGAGCAGCTGAGGATGGAACTGAAGAGAGTCAGAGCTATTGGGCTTCCTACTATCCCTGAGGAATCAGAGAGCCCAAAGACTATGGAAGATCTGAAGCCATGGAAGTTTGACGAGAAGTTCATGAAGGAGGACCCCTTGAATGAGATGCACAAGTTCTATAAGAGTTACAGAGAAAGAATGAGAAAGCTTGATATCCTCAACTATCAAAAGATGTATGCAATTGGTGAGTTGTTTTCATTAAGTTATATGTGTATGCTATTTTGTAGGAAAATTATGTGCTCGGATGCTCAGAATTTTCATATTGCTTACGACCGCATCATATAAATTGACCATAATTCCCCCTTTCGACAAATAAGAAAGGCTAAATGCTACTGTTCATCAGGCATAAAAGTTTTCTTTTTCTTTTGAAAGATATAAGCGTACAGATGCCAAATCTTAGTTTCTACTAATGGTTCATTTAGCAACTTCCTTCTGATAATGTTGTCCTGTTTTTGAATCATGACAGGCTTTCTCCAGCTGAAGAATCCACTTGAATCCTTGGGAGCTTCAAAGCCCTTGATTCCAACAATAATCTCTCACGTCTCTCAAAATTTAAGACACCGCAGAAAATCCATCACCGACCCATCAGAGAAATTCTTGAAAGAACTCCAAGTCGACTTAGAAACAGTATACGTAGGCCAAACATGCCTCTCATGGGAATTTCTACACTGGCAATTTGAAAAGGCCCGAGAGCGTCGGGATTCTGATCCGTATAGAAGCCATCGATACAATCAAGTGGCCGGAGAATTCCAACAATTTCAAGTTACGGTTCAAAGGTTCGTAGAGAACGAGTCGTTTCAAGGGCCTAGACTACAAAACTACGTCAAGAATCGTTGTGTGCTGAGAAATCTCCTCGAAGTTCCTGTCGTAAGAGGTAAGGCAACCCTAACATTTCCCAACTACTTCAATGTGAGGTATGGCAGTTATATATGTGATCACTCAGTTTGTGCTCATGCCCCCAAGGCGTGAGTTTGCATGCTTATCATGTCTTGGTGTCAAGCACGTAACTTTACTAACGTAGCTATGCCGCAGAGGATCGTTTGAAGGACAGAACGGAGGAGAGAAAGAAAGGTAATTACGCGGCGACGCGCGAGACGTTAGAAGACGTAAGGGACAAGATGGAGGAGATGGAGAAAGCGATCACGAGCGAGAAGTTGGAGGACATAATGGAGGAGTGCATCAGAGTTTTCTGGGAATTTGTCAAGGCGGACAAGGATGAAACTCCGACCATATTAAAGGGTCTGCTAAGAAATCACGCAGAACTCCAAGATCCATCAGATTTCAAGCTCTTGTCAGAAATCCAAGCGAGCCTGCAGAGAGTAAAATCTCCAGCTTTTTCCATGATTTTCTTCTTATGACGTACAGGTGAAGCAACTGACTTATGTTTTTTTTTTTTTTTTAATCTTTCTCCCCCCCTGAATGCAGAAAGATAAGAAATTGAAGGATATCTTGAAGACGGGCAACTGCCTAGTTAAGAAATTCAAGAAGCCTCGCGAAGACCGGTCAAATCAAGATCTCTTCTTCTCTCAGGTAGACATGAAGCTGATATCAAGAGTACTAAAGATGTCGAGGATTACAACAGATCAGCTGGTGTGGTGCCATATGAAATTGAGCAAGATCACGTTCGCAGATAGAAAGATCCACAGGGAACAATCTTTTTTGCTTTTCCCGTGCTGAGATACGATGCATGGTTTTCAATTTTCCCTTTTAAAATTTCTCGGTGTAATTAATTTCTAGAGCGAGTCTAGGTTAATAAGGTCTGTAAAAGATTTTGCTAGTTTGTCACTCACAAAGTTACATGTGGTGTTAGTAATTTTCTTTCAAATGGCTCGTGCTCCTTCTGTTGGGATTGTTTGTGTCTTTGATTCTTTCTGTAACTTCGTGAGAATTAGATATCACGAATTAGATAGAATTAGAGACCTATCATGATTAGGAGATTGGGTCTCATCATGATTAGGAGTTTGAATCCTATTCTAATTAGGAAGTTAGGCTAGAGATTGGATTTTGGTTTCCCTATATATATTCTTCTATTTTTGGCCTAAAAACCAAGCAGATGAGAGAGAGCCAATATTCTTGTAATATAGGATTAGCAGAGGGCGTAACCTGATTTAAGAATATTGTATAAGAGGTGAGAGTTTCGTAGTCTTTGTCTGTGCTTAAGATTACAACATTGGGAGAGGGTTTCGCAATCTTTGTTCGTTCAAAAGATTGTAAGGAGTGGGTTTTGGAGAGAATATGAGAGTTGATTATGTAAGTGAGGTTGAGAGATTGAGAGACGAGAGTTGAGTGGTTCCTTTTGTAGTTCTCCCTTATACATAGTGGATTTCCTGTATTGTTTCCCCGTTGACGTAGGTCGAAGTTGATCGACTGAACCACGTAAATCTCGTTGTTCCTTCTTCTTGATTGCGGTTGTTTTATATATTATTGATTGTGGGTTGGATTTCAAGTTGTGCAAATCGTAGTAGGCGGGGAGACAACCCCAACACCTTGTTCAACTCTTCAGTCTCTTGCTTTTACATACGCCTTTGTGATTTATATATAGTTACAGTATCCTCAACTGAGTAGTGGAGAACAGGAAGTGTAAAAAAATGTAAAGGCAATCATATTTTCAATGATAAGCTTTCATAATCAATAATTACATTAATTGTGTATGAGTCCAAATTATATATGGTGGATCAATCACCAAAGCGTGATTACTTTTTAATAGGCTGGAGTGGCAAAACCATTTGAAAGGTGGCATACTGTTGGAGCAATGAATGGAAAAACAAATAGAAATATAATATATATGAGGAGAGATTTAGTGGGAGAAGTAAATAAAAAAACTCTTCTAAACTCTCGGTTACTATAGCTACTGTACTCAGCTCCTTTCTTTTTTTCTTATTTCTTTCTTCTTAGGTACAAGGATGCATGAATGCCTATTTAAAGACTTTACAAAGTGTCATAATAGAATTCTAGTATGACTATAATTCCTAGAGATAACTAACTCAAATCCTTTTAGAATTGAGATTAACTTCAACATCCCCCTTTAATCCTAATTTTGTAAGGTCTTCATTCCCATCATGTACTTCAACTTGACAAACGCTTCAAACTTCAAAGGTTTCGTGAAGATGCCTTCAACTTGAACTTCAGACTTGCAATAAATCAACACGATCTCGTTCTTCTCAACATTATCTCGTAAAAAATGGTAACAAGTATGAATATGTTTGCTCCTTCAATTCCATGAGTGACTGGAACCTTTGCCAAATCAACTGCAAACTTGTTGTCAACATAAATATTTGTAGGACCTTGAACTTGAAAATGAATCTGACTCAGCACATTAAGCAACTAAATTGCTTAACAAGCACTCGACGCAACTGCTACATACTCCACTTCACAAGTTAAGGGTGCAACAATAGACTGCTTCTTCGACGGTCATGAGAATGCGGTGGTGCCAAAAGTGAAGACATAACCAGAAGTGCTTTTATGATCATCATGGTCTCCACTCCAATCACTATCAGAATAGCCTACAATATCACAATTGTTAGATGAAGAATAAAACAAACCATGATCATAAGTCCTTTTTAGATACCGCATATAATTCTCTTTACAACTTATAGATGAGATTGGCAAGGAGCCTCCAAATATCTGCTGATTAAACCAACTCTATAGGCTATATCAGGCCTTGTGCATGTGAGATATCTCAAACTCCTAATAATTTGATTGAAATATATAGGATCAACTTCCGCACCATCACCTCTCGAGATAATTTAGTATCAACCTCCACAGAAATTCTAACAGGATTGTAATAAAATATCTGAAATCTCTTCAACAACTCTGCACAATACCTCCTTTGACATTATGAAAATCACATCATCTCCTTGAACAAAGTTGTTTATCTTCACATATAAGGCATGCTCGGAGGGGCACTTCTGAAATCCACTTTCTTGAAAGAAAAATTAATTCTTTTTTTCCATGCTCGTGGCGCCTGCTTCAGTCTGTACAAGCCTTTTTCCAATTTGTATACTTTATGCTCGTATCCTTTTTTCACAAATCCAGGTAGCTGCTTCATGAAAACTTTTTTTCAAGTGGCTCATTAAGAAAAGCTGACTTCACGTCCATCTGATGAATATTCCAATGCTTCTGTGCAGCCAGGGTAATTATTAATCTAACAGTTTCAATTCTAGCAACAAGGAAAAATATGTCAGCCCTTATGTTTTGATGATGTTCTTACAACCACCATTATCGGTACTAATGGCTTATTGAGTATAAATGTAGTAAATTCATTTGTCAAGCTCGTTAGTGCCATCAACGGAGGATGGATGAAATATACGCTACAACGAAGATATACAAAGGAGGAGGAGGCCAAGAGATGAAGCAATGTTATTTCAAGAACGACAAATTCGAATAAAAGCTTCATCCGATTCAAGCTATATCAAAGCTCAAGTATTGCACCCTATATGAGGATATTAGCTTTCTTTTGTTTCCCTCTCTAGTGCTAGAATGTAGGCAAAGAGTTACTGAGTTTACTTGAAGCTATTAGGAATCACACACACGTTTTTAGACTTATGCTTTTAAGAGTTTTTCACAAAATACTATTTTTCACAAGTATGAGTACCTATCTGCAAAATTCTTTTTCCAAACAGTTTGTTTTTAGTATTAAAAACATTTTACAAAGTTTCAGAATTTTCAGAGGTCAAATAAATATTTTGCAAATATTTCAAGTTGGTCAAAAATCCTTTTTCAAGAAAATATCAGAAATCGGTCGACCGGTACGGTTGACCGATCCTATGACCCTTAATCAGTATTTTTCCAGAGAGTCGTCGGTCGACCGGTACGGTCGACCGAAATTTCGATCTTTAAATCGGTCGACCGCGCCGGTCGACCGATGAGTCTCTGCTTGTTTTCCATATTTTCCTTAGCTGCTCGCGGTCGACCGAACTTTTCGGTCGGTCGACCGAAGCACTTTTTCGGTCGACCGAAGGCTTTTTCTGGTCGACCGAAATTCTCTTCGGTCAATCGGATTTTGTCTTTTGTCAGTCGCGACTTTTTTAAACGGTCATTTACATCGAACAATGTGCTTTCACTTGTTAGTGATTGGCACAGTCTGTGATGAGGGTCTGAAGAAGAGATTATTATCTCATTTGGGAAGATTGGGTTTTGTTTTAAAATGATTTAAACTTTTCTATAAAAACCCCCCAGACCTCTTCTTCTACCTGAGCCGTAACGTTTTTGAAAACCAGAGAGCTTTTTGTTTTCCTCAGAAAAATTTTCAAAGTCTGTTTTCTCTCTGTTTCAAGTGTGATTCACCTCCCAGCTTCAGTATACCTTCTCTTTGCTATAGGGGCTGTGTAAAGAGAGGTTCTTTCACTGTTTCTTCTGCTGTGTGAGTGAGATCTGTTGAGATCAACTGTGAGGGAGAGTGATCTGTGAGATCAAACTGTGTAGTGAGAGAGATCTGTGGAGATCGCTGTGTAGACGAAGTTCCGGCTTCCAAACCGGGTGTGTAGTGGATTTCTCCTCGAGAGTAGGGAGCGGGGACGTAGGCCAGAGGGCCGAACCTCGTTAACACATCGCGCGTCAAGGATAACGAACTCCTAACTCTATCTCTCTTTCTTTTATCGCATTACTGTTTTGTGGTTTGCTTGTACTGTTTTTTAATTGCATATTAGAGCCTCTTGACCCTAATCACCCCCCCTCTAGGGTCTAATAATTGGTATCAGAGCTTGGTCTCTATATTAATTTTTTAGTTTAATCACCTTAGAGAAAAGATCTAATGGAGGCCTCTTTGAATATGCATATGTTAGAAGGAAATCAAAACACGCATTTTAAAACATAGGCAAGCCGTAGATGTTGACGGCTCGCCCAAAAATATTTTGGCAAATCAACAAGAATTAAGCATAGTGCGTGCCATCTCTTGCTATGGTGCCCGATTTTTCCCGATTCAACAACACCATTTTGTTGTTGTGTCTAGGAGCGAAAACATCATGAGGTAATTACCATATGCAGCCCACAAAAAAATCATAGAAAAATTCATTTTTGAAATTCACCACCATGATCACTTCTTATTTTAACAACTTCAAATCTTTTTTATTTTCAATTCTTTTAACATGATTTGCAAATCTTCAAAACAATCATTTTACTTTAGCACCCAAGAAATATTGTCCATGTAAAACGAGAAAAAATCATCAATAATCACAAAAAAACATAGTGTTTGCCTCCAAGAGACGGTAACACGCATAGGACCAAATAATATCAAGATGAAGTAATTGCCAAGGGTTTAGAAGTCAGATACCTCGATGGATGGATTATAAGAGATTTTGTTTGTTTACCTTGGCCCACACAATCCTCACAAATTGTATCTTTTATTGCAAGCTGCAAGCCTACGGTAGCCCATTTCACAAGATTTTCTTAGACAGTTTTGATATTAACTCCATATTTGCATGTCCGAGTCTCTCTGTGCCAAATCCAAGGGTTTTCATCAATTGCCCGCCCAAGACACTTCACATCTTGATTACTAACTCATTCATCTTCAAACGATGTTAAACATTAGCACTTGCCGATTGCCCCAATAAAAACAATTTTCTTTCCAATCCATACTAATGATGCATTTTTCCGGTTAAATAATATCAAAACCTTTACTCACTTCATTGGCTAATGCTAAGAAGAAGATTATTGATTCAAGCATTACTAATGTAAACATCTTTCTATTATGGGTGCAGGTTTCTTACCAATAGAACCGATACGATGATGTTATTCTCTCACCACCCACCGAAGGAGACATTGGCCCCTTCAATCCCTTGATAGGTTGCAAATAAACTCTTTGTTGCCCCGTCATATTGATGTGTA